ACCCCAAAATGACTGTGCGTCCTTCTCAGAACACGAATTTTAAGAATGTACGGACGTGAGAGACTGAAAAAACACAGACAACCGGAACCATTCCGAGCAGGCGACACAAACAATTCCATATATCAACAAATTGAGTAGATCCACGAGTAGCAATGCTGCAAATCTATGGCAATGGAAAGCTAAATGCGTAGTTCATCCAAATAATTGGAGCAGAAAACTTACCGACCAAGCAGATTCGATCAGTTTGGATGAACTAATCCCATGATGGCTCTCCCATGGGTTTTATCATTTTTTTTAAATTTTTAAAATGATATATTCTGAGTAGTATAATTACTGTACCTGGGCAGCCTTGTTGCTGATTGAGCTAATTACTTGATTAGTTTTAGTATACTTTGTTTTTATCTAATGAGTGAAACATGTTATGTTACTGTGCCGAGATTTAGTGGACGTTAAAGGAAATGAGGAAGAAGAAATAAGCTAATGAAATGACCATTTTAACTCATATACTAACACCTAACTAACTAAAGGTTGACGAAAGGACTAATGCTGGAACAAATTTGATAGTCAAGGATCTATTTTGTCCAAATTAAAAGACGATGACCAATTTTGAAAAATCGCAATAATCGAAGGACCATAGCTGGAATTAACTCTAAAAATATATATAGAACCTTTTTTTAAAGTATAATTTGGTAGAAATATCCAAAGTATCTTATCTTATCTTACTTCTTATCTTTATCTTACTATCTAAGTATCTTACTATATCTTACTTCTTACTATATCTTACTATCTTACTTCTTACTATATATATAAAAGCCACAAATTTAGGGATTCATAATAGAGCCAAAACTTTCCGCTCAAAAATATCAGTGCCGTATTAGTGTGTATATACAACATTCCAGTTGTAGTCGTCTTAGGAAGTTTATACAATCTTCCGTATTTATACTTCACATTTTTGGAAGTTTAATGCTTAGTAAAAGGGATTACCATATTAATTAAATCTTTGGCTTTCCATGAAAGCCTATTAGATATCCGAAATCTTTGACTTTCTAATGAAAGCCAATTCAATATTGGAAACAATCGGAAGCTTCTACATAGAGGTTTTTTTCTTATAAAACACATCGGATCAAATCCATGTGAGCGTAAACCGGCAAATTATTGTGTGGACCATGGTCCACACAATGTTAGGTAGACCATAACAAAAAGTACATTTTTAATATACAGAATGTACATTATTTTTGTACTGAATGTACATTATACAATATAATGTACACTCAGTACAAAAATAATGTACATCCCCTGAAAAAAATGTCCATTATTTTTGTATTGAATGTACATTATCTTTGTACTAAATGTACATTATTTTACAGTATATAAAATATGGTCCACACAACTTGCGTGGTCCATGGTCCACACAATAATGATTGGCGTAAACCACAGTAATTAGTTTTGTATAAAATACAAATCATCATCAACCGAAAAAATGGTTCAAACTGCATAAGAACCATTCGTGTATTTGAATGTAGGCTGACTTCAAAGACGATACATTCGTAAAAAAACCAAATTAGATACAGAAGGCTCTGATCTATTAACAGCTAGTATCCAAAAACAAGTCTCTCTCTCTCTGTTTTTTTATTCTTTAATTCTCTCTCTCTCTCTCTCTCTCTCTAATATAATAAGTTTACACTGTTAAGCAGAGAATATCAAATAGTGAATGGCAATTAAAGAATAAGCTATGCAGATGTTACCAGCAGAAATTAAAAAAAAAATGTCAATACTTAACAACAAGAGCTGTGTTTTATATATAGTCTAAATTACATTATATGGAAACACATATTACATGTTGTGTATGAGACATACACAACAAATCCAGAGGCACATTGCCTAACCACATTGTGTTTTTTACTTTCTGCCATTTCTTCGATTCTTTATCTCAACATTACAGAAACAAATGCAGATCAGTTTAAGCTTTCCTTTGACAAGAACTGTCAACAATACTCATCCCCTAAACCCCCCAGCATATTAACTGCAGATGCGAAAAAATAGTACGCAGCATTGTATAAATCCTAACAGGTCGTCGTTTGGTTGGGAGTAAAGAATTAGGGTGGAAAGGAATTGCAATTCGATGAGAAAAGAATAAGGTGGGAATAAAGCATGAATTCAAATTACATTGTTTGGTAGGGATAAATATAATTATTGGGTAGGGAATGAAAAAAGTGATATAAAGACTAAAATGTCCTTGTGTAATAATAATAGTAGTAATAAATTAATAATCAAGGGTACTTTTGTCATTTCATCATTTTTCCTTTTCCCACAACCACCGAATTGCAATTCATAGGTGGGTGCCCATGAATTACAATTCAGCAAAATGAGGGAATTGCAATTCCCTCCAACCAAACGGCGTAATTGTGGTTTCCACTGAATTGCAATTCAACTACAGCCAAATTACGCCCAACATCTTAATATTGTAATGCAAATCTTGAGTGGTTTCTTCAAGCTAAAGCTTTCAATAGATGAACTTTTCCTAAGATTCTCCGGTTAATATACACATCTATTAGATCTACTCCCGTTTATCTGTAAGTATTTTAAACATCGGTTGAACACAATTGCTCAAAAAACAGCCTAAATGGAAAGCAGCAAATGTAATTCGTAAATCAGAAAAAGAGAACTTCAAAACGCAATGAACGATTTCAATGTGTCACGGTCCTAGGGTTTAGAGTAGAGAGAGAGAGAGAGAGAGAGAGAGAGAGAGAGAGAGAGAGAGAGAGGGAGAGAAGATTGAAGAGAAGAAGAATGATTTCATTACAGTTTGGTGAATGCCACATACACTGCCAGCTAACCCCTTTTATAATCGTTCTTAACCGCTATTCCAATGCTTAAACGACACCGTTTCGGTTCTTATATACTAAACCGGTCACTTATTGGAACGACGACGTTTTGCTTAGTGTAACCGTCTTCAACCGCTGAGGCGTCAAGCGACGTCGTTTGCTCTTATTTCTCCTGGCCATTTGCTGCGATCATTACATCATCCCCTCCTTTACTGGATCCTTGACCCCAAGGATCGAAATCTGGAAATTGTTTCTTGATGTGGTGGAAGTCTTCCCATGTGGCAGCCTCTTCTGGCAAATTTGCCCATTGAACTAAAATCTGTGTGACAGCCTTGTTGTCCCTCTTCACCAATCTCTTACTCAATGCTGCCAAGGGCTGAGCCAATAACTCTCCTTCTCTACCCACCGAGGGTGGTTCCAATTGTGGTGTCACATGATCCCCCACCTTCTTTTTCAGTAGAGAAATGTGGAAGACATGATGGACTTGAGCTCCTGGAGGTAATGCCAACCTGCAGGCCACAGGACCTACTTTTGCTATAACCTGGTAAGGGCCATAGTATTTAGATGAGAGTTTGATGTTGGACCTTACTGCCACTGTAAGTTGCTTGTAGGGTTGGACCTTTAAATACACCCAATCCCCAATTTGCAAGGTCCTTTCACTCCTTTTTCTATCAGCCTGCTGCTTCATTCTATGCTGAGCTATCCTCAGATTCTCCTTCAATATTGCCAACATAGTCTCTCTCCTTTCCAACCAGCTCCCTTCCTCTCTCTTCTGCCCCATTTCCAGAGCTAACATAGGTGGTGCATACCCATAGAGGGCTTGGAAAGGGGTGCACTGCAAGGATGTGTGGAAGTTGGTGTTATACCAATATTCTGCTAGGTGCAGCCACTGGGCCCAAACCTTTGGTTTGCTGAACACCATACACCTTAAATAAGTTTCCAAACACCTGTTGACTCTCTCAGTTTGTCCATCTGATTGTGGATGGTAGGCAGTAGACATGCTCAATTGAACTTGCAGCTGCTTGAAAAGAGATTGCCAGAATCTGCTGAGGAACACTCTATCTCTGTCAGTCACAATGTCTCTTGGTAACCCATGTAACTTGTAGATATTTTCCATAAAAATGTTGGCCACACCCTCAGCAGAGTATGGATGGACTAAGCCCATGAAATGACTATACTTGGTGAGTCTATCCACCACCACAAGAATCACTTCCTTTCCTTGGGATTTTGGCAATCCTTCAATGAAATCCATTGAAATTCCCTTCCAAGCTTGATCAGGGATGGCCAGAGGCTGTAGTAGTCCTGGAGTTGCAACATTTTCAGCCTTGCATCTTTGACATACATCACATCTTTCCACTACTGACTTAACATCCAGTTTCATTTTCTGCCAGTAAAATAGTGATCTGAGCCTTTGGTAAGTCCATTGTTGTCCTGAATGCCCCCCCAATGAAGAGTCATGCATTTGCAGGATTAGTTTGTTTCTCAAGTCACCCTTTTCTCCCACATAAATCCTTTGTTTGTACCTGATGAGCCCCTCAGCTATAGCAATGTTGGGATCAACCCCAGGTGTAATCAGATTGACTGTCAACTGCTCCTGAGCCCATTCATCCCCCTCATAACTGTGAAGCACCTCTTCAATCCATTGTGGCCTGATAGCTAGTACAGTATTGAGCTCAGAATTACTTACTTCAGGTTCCTGACTCATTTCCCTTCTGGAGAGTGCATCAGCAGCCCCATTGTCACTCCCCCTTTTATATTGTATTGTATAGTGCAACCCCAAAAGTTTGGACAAGCCTCTCAGTTGTGTGGCAGTGGTGATCTTCTGATCCAATAAGAACTTCAAACTGTGGTGATCAGTTTGAATAATGAATTTCCTCCCTACTAGATAAGCTCTTCATTTCTCCACTGCATTGATGATGGCCATGTATTCCTTTTCATATATGGATAGACCTAGGTGCTTATCTCCAAAGGCTTTGCTGAAATAAGCAATAGGTCTTCCCTCTTGGATTAACACTGCTCCCATCCCCTTATGGCAAGCATCTGCTTCAACTATAAAAATTTTCTGGAAATCAGGAAGAGCCAAGACTGGAGCTGAGCATATAGCCCTTTTTAAGTTTTCAAAAGCAGTCTCAGCTTCTTTAGTCCACTGAAAGGCATTTTTCTTCAACATTTTTGTCAATGGCACATTGGCATGCTAATCATTCCATAGCTCTTGATAAATCTCCTATAGTATCCAGTCAAGCCTAGGAAGCCCCTCAAACTCTTGATAGTTGTAGGTTTAGGCCATTCTGCTACTGCTTGCAACTTTGAGGGATCAGTATGCAACCCAAGCTCAGATATTATATGGCCTAAGTACTCAACTTCTCTCATTGCAAAAGCACACTTACTAAGCTTAGCCAACAGCTTGTGTTCCTTCATCAATTCTAGGACTGCCTTGAGGTGTTCCCAATGCATACTCAGTTCATGGCTGTAGATCAATATATCATCAAAAAATACCAAAACAAACCTTCTCAGCAATGGCTTGAACACATAGTTCATCAGTGCTTGGAAAGTGGCAGGAGCATTAGTTAGGCCAAATGGCATAACTCTGAATTCATATAGGCCTTGATGTGTTTTGAATGCAGTCTTATATTCTTCCCCTTCCCTCATCCTTACTTGATGGTATCCTGCCCTTAGATCCAACTTGGTGAAATACCTTGATCCAGCAAGCTCAGAAAAAAGGTCCTCCACTACTGGGATTGGAAACTTGTTTTTAACAGTGATGTTATTCAAAGCCCTATAATCAATGCAAAACCTCCAGGTGTTGTCTTTTTTAGGCACTAGCAATACATGTGAGGCAAAAGGGGATACACTCTCAGCAATGACCCCACTCTTTAACATTTCTTCAACCATCTCTTCTATAACATTTTTTTGGTCAAAGGAATACCTGTATGGTTTGATGTTTACAGGTTGTGCCCCTGGCAATAAAGGAATGGAGTGGTCATACAACCTCCTGGGAGGCAGGTCCTTTGGCTCTTCAAATAAATCCTGGAACTGCTGTAGTAATTCAGTTAGTTCCTTGTATTCAGTCTGCACCACCACCTTGCAGTATACACTGCATTCATTATTTCCTCTTTCCTGCCTTACTCCTTCACATTGCACCAGGAACCCTTGGATCCCATACTGCTGCCACTTCTTCAACTCCTTCTTGGACACCTCCTGCAATCTACCAGCCTTCTTGGTCAACCCCCTTAATGTTACTTGCTGTCCTTCTTTAATGAATGAAATACCAGGTGGCCTTGTATGGAGTTGGATAGGGGCATACCGGTCTATCCAATCCATGCCAAGGACCATGTCACATCCTCCTAACCTTAGCAACCTGAAGTCCTTTTCAAAGGTTTCTCCTTGGATTTGCCACCTCAGTCTTCTACAAATGGCATCACAACTGATCTGTTCTCCATTAGCAACAGTTACTCTCAGTATTTGGGCTTTCTCTGGCTCTCTTCTTAGTTGTGTGAGAATTTTTGGATCTAAGAAGCTATGAGTGCTTCCACTATCCACTAGTATCACCATTGGTTGCCTCTGCACTACTCCCATCAACTTGATGGTATTCAATCCCTCCCCACCCAACACAGCACATAGGGAGATCTCAACTTGTTCCTTAGTCTCAATTCCTTCCAGTTCCTCAGTACTGATTCCATCAGAAGCATCCTGAAATTCCCCTTCCTCAACAACATGGAAGGTGTTTCCCTTGCACTTGTGCCTAGGTTGCCATGGCTCAAAGCACTTAAAACACTTATTCTACTCTCTTAGTTGAGATCTGATCTTAACACTCTCAGGTCCTTTTGCAGTGCTACTTAGAGTATTGGAGGCTGTAGATCCTTGGGAGTTTGTAGGCTTTTGATTAGGTAGGGTACTGTGTGTTCTAGGAGTGGTGGAATATGGTTGAGTTAAGGTGTTTCTGTTTTTGTACTGGTGTGTGTTTTTTGGTGGTTCATTAAACTTAAAACCCCATTTCCAACTGTCTAGCATTCCACATTGCATCTGCTAGTGTCTTAGGCTGAGTAGTTCTCACAAAGCCCCTCAGATTTGGTTTAAGTCTGGCTATGTATGCTTCTAGGAAATAGAGATCATTGAGGGTGGGGTGGTTTTGAATCAGAAGGCTCTTAAATTCCTCAAACCTATCATTGAACTCCATAACCCCTCCATTCTGTCTGAAATTGGTGAACTCCTCCATCACTACTCCACTGTCATCACCAAATCGTCTACAAACTGCCTCAGCAAAATGCGACCATTGGAATGGTTCATCCAAACCAGTGAGGTAACCTTCATACCACAGGCCTATTCTTCCAGTTAAGTTCACATATAACACATGCATGACTTCAATCTGGGGAATATGAGACATTTGCAAAAATCGTTCACATCTACTGATCCACAACTTAGGTTGTTCATAATCAAATGGTGGAAAATCATATCGATACCTCATGAGTGGGAATTCCATGGCTCGTCTTTGAGGGATCTGTGTCCGGACTTCTCTCCTTGTCCAGTTTGCACCAAATCCTTCGAATTCTACCTCCCTGTCCGAGTCCCCTGCACCAGCTAATTACGTCGCTGGTGCCTTTCCTGGCCTTTGTACTGATGGATGCTGTCCTTGGTGAGACAACGCTGGAAGTTCATTCCTGACTCCATTTACAGATGATCCACCTGGGATAGTGGACATCAGTGGTGGCGGAGGTCGATTGAGCCGAATTGTCTCTGCGATCTCGTCCTTCCATTCATTCATCTTTCCTTCCATTTGAGCTACCAGCCGCTCTACTAGCTCGGTCATAGTCTGTTTGTGTGTGTCCATTTGCTCGCTCAAATCAGCTACAACTATCTCTAGTTTTTTCAGTCTTGCCTCCATTGGGCTCTGATACCAGATGTCATGGTCCTAGGGTTTAGAGTAGAGAGAGAGAGAGAGAGAGAGAGAGAGAGAGAGAGAGAGGGAGAGAAGATTGAAGAGAAGAAGAATGATTTCATTACAGTTTGGTGAATGCCACATACACTGCCAGCTAACCCCTTTTATAACCGTTCTTAACAGCTATTACAATGCTTAAACGACACCGTTTCGGTTCTTATATACTAAACCGGTCACTTATTGGAACGATGACGTTTTGCTTAGTGTAACCGTCTTCAACCGCTGAGGCGTCAAGCGACGTCGTTTGCTCTTATTTCTCATGGCCATTTGCTGCGATCATTACACAATGCTAATTGCTATTCATTTCCTAAAAAAAAAAAAAAATACTCGCCTTTACTGTGAGATTTTGAGGAGGCGAAGACGCAGAGCTGCAGAGAGCGGAAACTAAAGTTCAAGCCTTAGCCTATCCGAGTTCCGGCTTCCATTGAAGCTGGTAACCGACATATTTCAAGGACGAAGAAGAAGAAAGAAGCGAGGGAGATGATAAAAGGTGGATATTTGGACCTAATATTTACTCAATATATTTTTGAAAATATTAAAAAAAATTTGTAAATATTTACTCTTAATATACATAAATATTAATTATTTCATAATTAAGAATATTATATTATACAAATAAACAAAATTATTGCACCATGTTACTGATAAATACTTCAATAGTAGATATCAGTTATCACAAACTCAATTTAGAATAAAAATATAATGTTTAAACTTTAAAATATTTAAAAAATTTAAACAATCAAAGATTCTAATTGTTTATATTTTCATTAATATGGGTATGTTTGGCAGAGCTTATTTAGGAGCTTATAACTTATTTTAAGCTACTAATAACCTATAAGCTCTGTTTGGTAATGTTCTTAAAATAAGCTCCTAGCTTAAAATAAAAGCTTATTTTGGAATGCTACCTAAGGTAGCGTTTCAAAATAAGCTCCTAGCTTCCTAACTTTTTTTCCATCTTTATCCTTATTATTTTAAAGAAATGACATAATTTACCATGCATTCCCAATTAAAACCTTTTTCTCTTCTCCTTTATCCGCAACTTTCACTGCAAATATTATTATTATTATTATTATTATTATTATTATTATTATTATTATTATTATTATTATTATTATTATTATTATTATTATTATTATTATTATTATTATTAGATTTGCAACAATATTGCTACTTATTTACGAGATGCTAGATCATGATTATGCTAATACTTTTATTTCAAAATGTTAATTTTTTTTTAAAGACAAAATGTTAAATTTTAATATGTAAACAAACTAATTTAAATTTTATGAAGATGTCCTTTTTAGTCTTTTCACATTTATCAGCTTATCAAAAAGCTAATTTTACCAAACACTTTCAATCATAATAGCTAGCTTAACAGCTCTTCAGTTTTCCGCTCCGAGCTTATAGTTTTTCAGCTTTCAGTTCCTTTTCAGCTTTTAACTCCTAGCTTATAGCTTTTTAGTTAGGTTTGCCAAACAGAGCCTATATCTTCTTAAAAGGTACAAACTTGAATTCAATTCTCATTTGCATATATATATATATATATATATATATATATATATATATATATATATTAACCAAAAAGTGTTCTAAGTCTTTATTCGTTCGTCTTATAGGCTAAGAGACACATTTACAATTTTTTTTGTCAGAAATTTGTTGATTGAGGTTAGAAATTCTTTTAAAATTTTGGGTCAAAAACATACAAATGAGTTTCTAAATTTTTTTATTAATCAGGAAATAACTAGAAATTTTTTTAGGAACTTTTGATTAGTTAGGAAATGATATAGAAATGTTCCGGAATGAGTCGGATAAGAAACATTTTTAAATGGGAAAACAGTATTTTCATGAAGTTTTCATGCGACATAGATTACGAAATTGGTGAGACTCTAAAAAATTGTAGTAGATCAGGAGTCACTAGTGCAACATTAGCTTATTTGATTAAAAAAGTCTTTGACATGAGTAGTTAAACGTTTTGGGTGTTTTTCACCTTTTGATTAAAAAAAATGATTATTTTTTTTTGGTGGAGGATAAAAAAATGATTGAATGTTATTATATATATGTCCACATGATAAATGTGATATTTTATATTTAAGCATGGATAATTTATAAATTTAACTCGTTCATTATGATTTATAAATAAGATTCAAAATTGATTTTTTTTTTAAACACATTCATCTTAAAATATTATTTTAATAAGAATATATATATATATATATATATATATATGATTGAGTTCACGTGAGGACCACAATATATAGAGGACTGTGCGGACTGATTACGGGCACACAACAAATTAGTATCATGCACATAATTTAATACACAATGACACACAAGAATACATGTAAAGATCAGGTTTCGAACCCAGACTCTATTAATTAACAAACCTATGCACACGACTATATTAGGCTAGGCACACGACATACAGACTAATGGCACACGACTACACCAGTCCGCACAGTCCTCAATATAGTGGTTCTTAGTTAAATTCACCTCTCTCTCTCTCTTTTATATATATATATATATATATATATATATATATATATATATATATATGAAAATTAATTAAAGTTTAAGCTCAAACATCTATCTCACATCATGCATAACAAAAGAAATTTGAAATAAATAAATTGAAAATCATTAACCAGAGGTGGTGGCCGGTGAAAGAAATTATGAGAAGTCATCACAACAAGCGTGCTAAGTTTGCCATGGTTATGTTCCCCACTTCCAACCAAAAGAGAAAAAGGCATTTATATAATATTGACAATTAATAATTTAATATTAACCCAATTGTTCAATAATTATTATATAAATAAATTGAAAAATGACTAATCAAAATTCTCAATGATTTATTTCTTATCAATAAATAGGGGTGTTAGCAAACAGAACCTTCGGCAAACTACTCTTGTTTGTGTTCGATAATGTTCGTTTATGTTCGTTTGTTAAGGTAAACGAACCATTAACAAACAAAAATTAGAGCTCGGTTAATAAACGAACAGAGTTTAAACTATGATCGTTTACTATGAGATCGTGAACACGCTCGTTTGTGTTCGTTTAATAATGTTCGTGAACAAGCTCGTTCAAGGTTCGTTTAATAATGTTTGCGAACATGAACGTAGATTATTTTTTGTTCACGAACAAATTTTGATCATGAACATGTGTAGGTGTTTGGTTATTAAAGGTTCACGAACGTGCTCATGAACGTAAACCAAACATGTTCGTGAACGTGTTTGTTAACGAACATGTTTGTGAACATGTTTGTTAACGTTAATGAACACGTTCGTGAACGTGAACGTTGAACGAACGTTAGTAAACACTAATGAACGCTTAACAAACGAAAACGAACAGGATTTTCAAAAACCTTAATAAACGAACACGAACACCCAAAATTCTAATAAACGAACACGAACAACCTTCGTTCGTTTATGTTCGGCTCGTTAACACTGCTATCAATGAATTGTTGTTTTCGGGAAAAGTTCGTAAAGTGTGAACACTTGAGCTTCATTCACCAATCACCATCAAAAGCTTGGAAAAATCTCACCAATGACCATAATTTTTTAAAGAAAGAATATTCCTTTCAATGGAAACGATCACAATACTTTAAACCTAAAAAAGAAGTCATTCAAAATCATGGTTGAAAAAATCGCTAGAAGTTCTTCAGGTACTCGAGAAGCACATAGTACGTAGGTGACGATTAATTGGTGCCTAGGCGCCTCATATATTTTTTATTTTTTAAAAATATGTTTATTTTTTAAAAAAATTTTATAAGACTTGATAATTATAAATTATTTAATATTTTAATAGTTAATTCTAAAATATAAAATATTAACCTATTAGGGTTATTTCGCTCAAAATAATGTCGTTTAAAATGAATAACTCATTTAAAAAATAAGAGAACAATAGCTAATCGGCCGACTAGGCGACCTAGTCGGTGCCTAGGAGGCCTAAGCAGCGCTTAGGCGGCCTAGACGGCCGCCTAGACCACCGATTATAGTGATACGCTAGGCAGCCGGCCAACGCTTAGCGCCTAAGCGCTGATTAATCGGTGCATAAGTGGGATTTTTTCAAGATTGTCCAAAATTACAATTAGACCTAAGTGTAGAAGAATTCTTTGAGTTTAATATATACACTACTGGAAATTTTAAAATTTCCGACCACCTGAAAATGATCTTAAATTAAGTTGATATCAAAAAGTCCAAAAAGTGATCGAAAATAGCAACAAAGGTTTTTCCGGATACCAAAAGTGGTCGGAACAAGACTTTCAACTTGATTTATGATCACTTTCAGGTGGTCGGAAATTTCAGAATTTCCAATAGTGATACTTTATAATTTTTCTTGAGTCGTGTGAAATCTTATTAACTATCTTTAATAATTTTAAAGGGAAATCATCATTTGGTCCCTCATTAATTGTTTACCAACTATTAATGTAGTCCATATTTTTCAATTTTAACAAATTATTTAAAATTTATGTCAATTAAACCCTTACAGGGACCAAATTGGTGATATTTTAAAAAGTTAGAAATCACCATTTCGATACCTAAAAGGGTTTAATTGATAACATTTTAAACAATTTGATGATTAAATTGGTTGAATTTAAAAATTAGAGGCTACATACATTGACAATTGGGAAATAATTGATAGACTAAAATATTGATTAACTCTAATTTTAACAAACTACACAATATATACAACTTTACTAAACATATACAATATGTTAATATAGTGTCTTATGTACCATAAAATAATACAATATTCAATATTCTCTTTTATCTACAAGAAAATCAGTAGTTCCTACTCAAATAATGTATGTTTTGGATGAAATTTGACTAATTTGTAAATTAATTTAAGTTGTCCATAATTATACGACTCAAATCAAAAAAATCATAGACTTGGAGTCTTGTGACCGAGTCAACATAATTGACCAACTCCATCAAACCAAGAGGGAGATT